AAAAAAGAGAAATTGAAAAATAACAAACACATATATTTTCTTAAAATTAAATTAAGAGGAAATGACAAAAAAATTATTTTACATCACGTTAACTTACATTCTTATCACGTCTATCCATTACGTTATCAGTTATTTCCATTTCTTTTCTATCCTGTTCCACGTCTTTTTCTAAACTATCCAATGTTTCAGTACTCTCTGATGATTTATTCCTTCTTTCAGAATCCAATGTATCCGTACTACCTAATTCTGAACTCTCAGATGATTTCTGTAATCTTGATTTTCTAATAGATCTTCTTTCATCTTTATTATTATCGGTTGGTACGATATCAATGATACTTGTACTTGGTACTCTTTTTGGTATACGTCTGACTCTTCTATTCTCTAATCTATCATCAACGTCAAGATTATCAGAACTTTCTGAAGACATTCTTTTGTTTGTCCTTCTTCGAAGAATTTTTCCTTCCTCTTCACGTTCTTCCTCATCTTCGTCATCCTCCTTTTTATAATGTTCAACATTTTTAAATTCACAGGTATCAATCCTTTCAAAACTTTCGGTAGATTTAGATGTACCCTTGGAAAGTCTTCTACCAGTTGAAAGATTCATATCAGATATACTACTTCTCTTTTGTAATTCTTTTTGAATCATATCTGAACCATTGTGACATTGATCAAGTATTTCAAAACTTTCTGATGATTTTGATATTGATTTTGATGTTCTCCTACCACGAAATTCAAAACTACTTCTTCTACGTTCTATTGAATCATCACTGGTCAAAGCTTCAATGGCCTCTAAACTATCAGAAGATTTAGATATACGATCAGTTGATTTTGATATAGGATTTAGCAGTCTTCTAGATACTAAAGGTTTCGTAGTTTCTTCATATTCTATTAAATTATCAAATCCATCGGTTGACTTGGAGAATAAAAATGAACTAGCTTCCAAGCTATCGGGTGACTTTGATGATCTACTAGATGACAATCTTCTACGTGGTAACTTAGATTCCAATTCTTCAAATACATCTGATCCTTTTGATATACGATTGGATGATCTCCTTGCGATTGATCTGATATCAACTTGTTCATCACTGGATTCAATGTTAGTTGTCCTTGTTACATTAGGTGGGTCCAGACTGTCAGGTGACAAGGACGCAATGCTTGAAGGTTTTTTAGGTAGTCTAAGTTGTGGTGGTTGTTGTTGTTGTTGTTGTTGTTGTTGTTGTTGTTGTTGTTGTTGTTGTTGTTGCTGCTGTTGTTGTTGTTGCTGTTGTTGCTGTTGTTGAGATTGTGGTTGTAATTGTGGTGATTCTAGGCCTTCGAACACATCTGAATTTCTTGATGTCCTCGCTGAAGGTTTACGTGTAACCGATGGTATTACATTCTTTTTCGATTCTATTGGGGAACTGGACGAGATGATATTTTTAGGTGACTTTGGTTGATCCAAATCGTCCATCGTATCCTCGACTATGGTCGTTATCGTTGACGTTGCAGTCTTGTTTATCGTTGATGGAGCGCGTCTTGGTGGCCGACGATTTTTCGGCCTTACCGAAATTCTATGGAGGGCTGCCGTATGATTCAAGCTGGCACTCTCGAATTGAGCTGTAAATTAAGGAAAAAAAAAGAAAAAAAAAAAAAAAAAAAAAAAAAAAGAAATACATTAGCATTTTTTTTGTTTATTTTTTTCTTTTTTTGTGTTTTTTCTACAACCTCGTATTTTTCGTCCATTTACAAAGTAAGTATTAATTTTTACACGATTAAATTAATTACATTTGATTAATTTCTTTGTCTTTTTTCTTTTTCCTTTCTTTTGGTAATATTAATTAATATCTATTAATCGGATTAAAAAATTGTGATCGTTAAAAATTGAGGAAAATGAAAGAAAAAAATTATTAATCGATAATTTAATTATTAATGGAACAATGAAATATTTCAAATATTTCAAATGAATTTTAAATGATCAAAATGGAATCCATGAGAAAAGTTTATTCATTGAATATTATACAATATTAATGATATTAATCAATGTCATTAAATGGATTAAAGAAAAAAAAAAAAAATTGAGTGAAATGAAAAAGAAACAAACAAACAAAAAAAAAAAAGAAATAAAGAAAGAAATGAAAAAATAGAAAAAAGTTATTAAACGTTAATTATGCGATTATTAATGGAACGATGAAATATTTAAAAAATAGATTTTGAATAATAAAAAATGAATTTTAAATAATTAAAATGAAATGCGTGAAAAAAGAAATTTCATTATATAAGAGTATATATAAAAATTTTGTTTCTCCCACGCACACCCACACACACATACACACACACACACACAAATCATTGAAAAAAAAAAAAAAAAAAAGAAAAAAAGAAAAAAATCTTCGTCCATTAAATTATACAGTTTCTGATATAAATTATTAATAGAAACTCTAATGAATATTTAATACTTACGTAAATCCTCTTTCACCGTAGAAACTGTCCTCTCGACATTTTCTTTCGCGGGTTTGGTGACCTGAAACATAGAAAAAAAAAAAATATATATATATATATATAAAATAAATAAAACGAAAGAATATAATCAAAATTAAAGCAGAAGTACAAAAAAGAAAAAAAAAAATTAATAATATCAATTAAATAAATAAACTATTCACTTCCGTTTAGGAATAATAATTTTAATCAATTAAAAGATTCAAACGATATAAAATCGTATTAACGATTTCTACGTGAAAAATTTACGATAAAAAAAAAAAAAAAAAAAAAAAAAAGAAAAATAGAAAAAGAAATTTATTTCTTATTTTTCCTAACGATCGAATGTTACGTGAGAAGAAAATAAAATAAAGAAAAAAAAAAAAAAAAAGAAAAAAAAAATTGTTCGATCGATCGATCTAAAATATAATTAATCAACCGACGATGAAAAATATTGCGATAGTAATTTTTCGACGCAAACGTCATCGTCGAAAAAAAGAAAAAAAGAAAAAGAAAAAAAAAAAGAAAACGAAAAATTATCAATAAAATAATTTTTTAAGCGACAATTTTAACTCCGCTAAAATCATCGAACTTATGTATGCTCCTATATAATCGGGTACTCGTGTTTTTGCTTATGTTTGCATTGCGTGTACGCGTTTTAATATATACGTATACATATCTACGTATGTATCTATGTGTCCTATGTATGTATATATGTATGTATGTATGTATGTATGTATATATATGTGTGTGGGTTGCTTATAACGGTATAACGGTTGCCGTCAAGTCACTTAACCGCGATCGTTCGAAACCGGTTGCAGGTGCTGTGCCTACGGTACACGTTCTAAAATAAAAATAAGAAATAAAATGGTGAAACAGAAACACACACACACACAGAGAGAAAGAGAGAGAGAGAGAGAAAGAGAGAGGGAGAGAGAGAGAGAGAGAGAGGGAGATGATGTAGACAGTAGTCTTATTTAGTTCTACGATAAACTGATAAATAACATGATAAATGTTTTATAAGATATCAATAATCATTAATTTAATAGATTGAGAAATATCTTTAACTGTAATAATTATTAAATACAATGACAGTTGGATTGACTTCTTTATACGAATTTATCATAGCAATTATTACATATTAATATTATTAAGTAACTTAAATAATAATGCAATTTAATAATTATTAATATCAATTATTATTTAAGTAAATTTAATAATAATGTAACTTAATAATGATTGAAATCAATTATTGATCAAGTAACTTTAATAATAATGTAACTTAATAATTATTAGAAATTCAATTGTTATTTGAGTAACTTAAATAATAATACAATTTAATAATTATTAATATCAATTATTATTTAAGTAAATTTAATGATAATGTAACTTAATAATGATTGAAATCAATTATTGATCAAGTAACTTTAATAATAATGTAACTTAATAATTATTAGAAATTCAATCGTTATTTAAGTGACTTTAATAATAATGTAACTTAATAATAATTAAAATCAATTATTAGTCAAGTAACTTTAATAATAATGTAACTTAATAATTATTAAAAGTTCAATCATTATTAAGTAAGATCAATAATAATGTAACTTAATAATTATTATAAATGCAATCATTATCAAGTAACTTTAATAATGTTGTAACTTAATGATTAATTAAAAACTTACTAATTATTAAGTAAATTTAATAATTATATTGTTTATCTCCATTAAGTTATATTTATTGAGTTGATTTATACGAATAATCAAAACCCAAAATGATTACTAATAATCAAAAGAAAAAAATAAAAAAAGTAATGATCAATATATATATAAATTTAATAATAATAATCACAATAATAATAATTATTATTATTACCATAACTTAACAATTATTAATTTCAATCGTTTATATCGATTATCATTGTTAACTCAATAAAACGATGTACCTTAAAAGGAAGAAACAAAAATGAAAGACCAATTAAAAAAAATCATAATTATTACAATCAAAAGCAATCATTATTATCATTAATGTAGCTTTAAAAAATTATTATTATTCAATAATTATTATTCAATAATTATTAACGAGATAATTTGTTAATAACAAATTTAATTTAAAAAAATGTAACTTGAATAATTGTAAGTTAAATAATAAGAAAAGAAATTCATTGACGTCATAATCATAACAATAACAACAATAACAATAACAATAATAATAATAATAATAATAATAATAATAATAATAATAATAATAATAATAATAATAATAATAGCAACAACAATGATAATAATGATAATAATAATCATCAAAATTAATGTCAGTATTACCTCCTTCTTTTTGCAATGACTCCGTTGAGGAACCAATGGGATTCTCTGTCTAATCTCCGGCAATTTAGATCTAGATCGATCATCGATCTTACAATTAGATCTTAATGGACCAGGTAACTCATAATCGATCCTTTCTTTACAACCATAAACACCTATCGTAATCTTAGGGACACTCGATTGTATCCCTTGATAATTTTTACATTTAACCGCATTATCTTCCTTAGTACGATCAATCAATCTTCTTCCCTCGATCGGATTTAAATTCAATTGTTCGATTATCGCACGTATGTTCGATGATATATTACTTTCACGATGCGAGACCACCATTTTGATTTCTATAAATCTATATATAGATATATATACATGTGTGTATGTACACACATACACACACATATATATATATGTATGTATGTATGTATTTATGTATGTATGTATGTAGGTATTGATCGATAATGATTATTTTTGTTTTGTTTATTTATTTTCGTTTTTATCGAACTCGTCATTTTTTAATTTTCTTTCTTTCTTTTTTTTTTTTTTTTTGTTTTTTAATCGCATTTTTCCAAATAATTCGTACACTTGAACGATGATCTATAATTCAATTTGAATGTTTTTTTGTTTTTTCGTTCCGTAATTAAATTACGCAAAATATGCGTATTGATTATTATTATTATTATTATTATTATTATTATTATTATTATTATTATTATTTTTTTTTTTTTTTTATTTAAATTATTATTATTATTCTTTTTTTTTGTTTTATTTCTATTTATTTTTTCATTCTCATTTTTTTTTAATTTATTTATTTTTATCACTTCTCTTTACGAAATTCTATTTGAATGAACTTTCGAAAGTGAATTTTTAATTTATCGATTTACGCTTAATTTTTTATTGGATTTTTAATTTTTTTTCTTTCTTTCTTTTTCTTTTTTTTTTTTAAATTTAATTCTCATAATTTATCGTTGTATACTTAATAGTAATTACGTTAATTCGCTTAATTAAAAAAAAAAAAATCACACGTTAAATGATGTTTACTTGAATGATTCACACAAAAAAAAAAAAGAAAAAAAAAAAAAAAACAGAGATCGCAAAAGATTTCTTCTCGTTAACAAATTAATTTCTTTTCTTCTTTTTTTCTTCTTGTCTTTTTTTCTTCATTTTTTTTTCTTTTTTTTTTTTTTTTTTCTTCAATTTAATTCAAATCCCGATAAATTTATTATTCTCGTGCATTTCGTGCGAATGTTTTCGTAAGATCCGTAATTCTATTTAAAATATAAAAGAATATAATACAAAAGAGCAATTTTATTATTTTCTCAGGATTTCACGTTGTGTCCCCGTTTCTTCGAAGTCAGAGAAAGAAGTCTTTCAATGATCGAAAGATTTCATCATCTCGATCGTTACCAATTTAATTTAATTATATATATATATATATATATTTTTTTTTTTTCTAACAATACTAACAATCAATAACCTAAAGAGAAAAAAGAAATAACAAGGGAATAATAATAATTTATAATGGTAAAAGGATTTAAAGATTTCTATGGATTATCGTCGACGAGCCTTTTACGAAGATTCAGGGCAATGATCTACCCACGTTAAATCGCCCACGATCTATGGACTTTAATTTTTCTTCTTCTTCTTCATCTTCTCTTTTCTTTTTTTTTTTATTCCTTTTTTTTTTTTTTTATTTATTTCTAATCAATGATCTCTTAAACAAAGATACACACACACAAATGTATATATATATATATATATATATATATATATATATACGTAACATATAGATTTTGCAAGAAATAACATTTTATTGGCATGATCGACGATTATGTTTAGTAATGACGTTCTACGTTCTAACCGGATGTACGTAGGTTATATTAAACGGAAATTACGACATCATATTTTCCGGTAAAGAAAAGAGAAAGTAAATCGATCAGTTTGCAAATGTACATTTGCTGAATTAAAATAATTTCCATTTACTGTTTTATAAGATCCGGTGATCAATGATTCATGATTTATTAAGAACATATGTCGTTAAAATTGTCAATCGTTTTATTAATGAAAAGTGTCATTGTTGATTAGAATATTTAGAAGAAAAAAAGAAAAAAAGAAAAAAAAAAATAAAGCACACTGTTCAATGTATAGATCAAAGAACGATGATCCATGGATCTATGATCAATGATCGTTAAATGTATGTAATTGAAATCATTAATAGTTTTATTAATGTAAAGTGTAATTGTTGATTAGAAAATTTAGAAAATTAAACGAGAATACATTATATTCAATGTACTGTATGAATCAGAGATCTATAATTTATGATCGATAAAATTATATATAAATAATTTTGAAATCATTAATTAATATAATAAATAATCATTTTATTAATGAAAAAGTATAATTGTTGATTGAAAAGTTTAGAAAATTAAAGAAGTATATATTAGTTCGATCTACTGTATAGATCAGAGATCAATGATCTATTGATCGCAATTGAAATCATTAATCATTTTCTCAATGAAAAATTGTTGATTAGAAACTTAAAAAAAAAAAGAATACACATTTCTTCAACGTTTTGTACAGAACATAGATCAACGATCTATGATCGAGAAATATATATATATATATATATATATCGTTGAAATAATTTATCGTTTTCTAAATGGAAAGTGTGAATAATTGTTAATTAGAAAATTAAACGAAAAAAAAAAACAAAGATGATTCATTTATTGGATGT